TAGCTAGAAGAAGCCAATGACTTACTTAGGACAGAATCAGACACAGCTGTAAGATTAAGGAAGAGTCACACAGAAATGAGCAAATCAATTAGTCAGCTAGAGTCCCTGAACAGAGAATTGCAGGAGAGAAACCGAATTCTAGAGAATTCCAAGTCACAAACAGACAAGGATTATTACCAACTGCAAGCTGTATTGGAAGCTGAGCGAAGAGACAGAGGTCATGATTCTGAAATGATTGGAGACCTTCAAGGTAAAAACCTCTTCTCCCATAAAGTCTGTATCACATAAAATCTGCCATTTTAATCATTTAAAAATTTTATTATTATCGTGTATATGATGGTGCATGAGTGGACGTCAGAGGACCACTTTGTGGAGTCAGCGCTCTCCTTCCACTTTTACATGGGCTCCGGGAATTTCACTTGGGTTGTCAGGCTTGCACAGCAAGCACTTTACCCACTAAGCCATCTCGCCAGCCCCATTTCAAGCATTTCTAAGTGTATATGCTTCAGTGGTTTTGATACCTTCCGCTGTGCATCCATCAAGACTATGTATCTGCAGAACATTTTGTCATCCCAAACAAACTGTTCCTGTAGTAGTAACTTGCCAATCTCCCCTCCCTGCAGCACTGACTAAATGCCATCCTACTTTCTGAGTTTGTGAACTTGACTAGGTTCCCCATAGAAGTGGAATCCTACAATATCTGTTCCTTGCTTTTTATTTTTAAATTTTAATTTTTAAATTTTAAATTTTTTTTAAATTTTAAATTTAAATTTTTAAATTTTAAATTTTACTAACTTATTTTCAAGATCTGGGGCATTGCGCCTGCTGGTCTACCACTGCGCTACAGCTCTAATCTTATTCTCTAATTTATATTGTTTAAAAACTCACAAAGTGAAGCACACCTTTAGTCCCAGCGTTTGGGAGGCAGAGGCAGACAGATCTCTGTGAATTCAAGGCCATCCTGGTCTACATAGTGAGTTCCAGGCCAGCTGGGGCTACAGGGGAAACCCTGTCTCAAAAGATAAAAAAAAAAACAAAAAAAAAAACCCAAACAAAAAACTTCACAAGTATATCATTTAACCTTTTTTGGGGGGGGTCTTTTTGAGACAGGGTCTCCCTGTAACCCCAGCTGGCTTGGATTTACTGTGGAGACCAGGCTGGCCTCGAACTCACAGAGATCCTCCTGCCTCTGCCTCCCAAGTGCTGGGATTAAAGGCGTGCACTGCCACACCCAGCATTTAACCATTTTTTAATATGGGGCATTTTAAAAAATTATATTACTCTCATAGAAAATGACTTTGGTGAAACCAGATTTCTTTTAGAATAACGCTTGCATTTGTATCAGGTTATAATTTCTGTACTCTCACATCTCTGAGGCAATTCTTTTTCGCCAAGTTAACTAAATACTAATTGAAAATTTTGCCTAATTTTTAAAGGTTTCATTCAAAATGAGACTAATCCAGGCAGAGGATTATCCCCATTAATTCTTGGGAATTTCTTAGTAGCAGAAATGGACTCCTCATTACAAAAAAAGAGACTTATGCACTTGGAAAGGTTAGGACTAGAATTATTAGCATTCTTGATGAATCTAAAAAGCAGAAGATTAAGCATAACTAATAATGAATAAAAGGAATAGTTTTACAAAATCCCAGCATAGATATGGGGAAGTGGGTAAGAAATCCCAACTCAACTTAAGGAACTTTTGGTAATTGATGACTGCTAAGAGGGAGAGAGACTGTCTTTCAGTAATGGGACTCTTGGTGGGCCCAGTGGATGGAGGAACCCACACTGAAGGACATTGGGGACACAAATCATACTCTATAGGCTGTATTATATATATATATATATGAGAAGACCTTATATATATATGAGAATACGTTAAATTGAATGGGGGGTTGTGTAGGATGAAGTACAGATGGGGAGGGGATCTAAATATCATCTAACTAAATTGTATGAAAATTGCAAAAATTCAATTATAAAAATTTTGTTTTTAAAAGGAACAGTTTTAAAATGGTAAAAACCATTGGGTGTGGTGGTGCATACCTTTAATCCCAGTACTTAGGAAGTAGAGGCAGGTAGATCTCTGAGATTGAGACCAGCTGGGGCTACAGGGAGACCCTGTCTCAAAAAAAAAAAAAAAAAAAAAAAAAAAAAAGTGAAAAGCATTTGATTTGAAAGATGTTTGGCTTTATCAGGTGTGCTAGCAGATGCCTTGATACATTCAGCTGTGCATCCGTCAGGGGAAGTACTTGGGAAGTAGAGGCAGGTGGCTCTCTATGATCTGTGAGTTCAAGGCCAACCAAGGCTACATAGTGACATCCTATCTTAAAAAATAAAAAGATGATGGATCCAAAAAAAAAAGATGATGGTGATGCCTGGCTTACTAACCAAATATCTTTCTGTTTCCTATGTAGTGGCAGCCATACTACCTACACAAAAACAGACATGGAAATTGCTAGACTGCTTAGAAAAAACTGGTAGGAGTATGTTAACCTTAGTCATAGATGGGAAGATAGTTTAGGTCTCATGGGGCTTGATGATTAGCTTTAATTCTGTGGAGAGAGGTCAGGGTCAGTTTTTGTGACTATGGAAACGGAAATTAGGATCTCTTGATTGATTCAGAGCTGAGAATCGTTGTGCAATCTTATTTCTCAGGCAGCAGGCTTAAAATAGGTCTGACTATAACCAAGAAAATAGCTGCTTTTTATGTAGTAGGAAAACCTCATACTTGGTTAAGTCATAGTTTTTGGTGCTTTTATACAGCAAATTATCCTTGTGAAAGTCACCTATAAATCCTTCCAGCTATGAAGTTCTGTTGATTTTTATCTTTTACTTATGACCAAGCTTTGAGGTACTTGCTTCCAATGTAGAAACCATCATCCTTGTGTTCATTGCATTTCTTTTTTCTTTTCCTTTTTTTTAATAGACTGTTTTAGATATTTGTGAAAGTTAAGAAAAATTCATAGTATGATTTGTCACCTTGTCCTTGTTTAGTGCTTGTGTTGTTTAGTTTTTTTGTCTGTAAGATATCCCATACTGAATTTGCTGATTTCACCTATTGATATCATTTGATATATTGTTCCATCCCTCATAGTACTTTAGATTGGAAGTTCAATCTAGGAGTTTGATTGTCTGGAGACTTGATCTCTTTCAGATAGGACTTGAGCAGGAATACTTAAGTAATTGTTAGGCATAAGGAAGCACATAAATTCTGGCTGTGTGGTTTTTATTAATAGTTTTTGGTGATTTGTTGCCTAGATTCTTGGTTTCTTTTGGCACTTGTAAAACGGAGCACATCTATTTTCATCCTTCCAGCGTTTATTATATTCAAGCTGTTATATAACCATCTCCCCTATCCAATTCTAAACATTTTCATTACCCTCTAAAAAACTGTCATCCACTAAACTGTCTCTCCCTTTTCTTCCTCCATCTAGACCCAGGAAGGCATCAGTTTCTTTATCTGCGAGTTTACTTGATCAGGATATTATCTGTAAATGACATTGTGTCAGGCGCTTTTGTCTATTACAGTGTTTTTTAAAGTTCGTCCATATTGTAGCATGTATTAGCATTTCATTAAAGGTTATGTAATAGTCTGATATAAAGTTGTTACTACATTTTGCATAACTATTTTGTTATTGGACTTTTGAATTGTTTTCACCTTTTTGTTGTAAATAGCAATGTTATAAACACATATTTGCCTATTGTATTCTTTTGGGTGTATAATTAGGTGTGAAATTGCTAGGTCATATGATAATTCTGTGTTTAACCTTTGTGAAACTACTAAGTTGTTTTCCACAAATAGCTGGACTGATTTTTTTCCCCCTCATCAGTGAGTCAAGATTCTAATTTTTCCATGTTATTGTCAATATTTGATATATTTTTATCAGCTATAACTGCCTTAGTAGGTATGAAGTCATGTATCACTATGATTTTAATTTTTTTTTTCTAATGACTACTGATATTGAATATTAGTTGTCTCAGCACCATTTGTTGAAGAAGCTGGTCTCTTCTTGATGTGTGTGTCTATGTGTCTGCATCTTTTGTCTGTCTGTGATGTGCGTAGGCCAGAGATGGATATATTTCCAAGCCCCTGTTCTTTCCTCTTTAAATGGTCTTGGCATCTTTGTTAAATACTGATTGTCCACGGCTGGGAATGTAACAAAGTGGTTAAGTGCTGGTCTAGCATACATGAGGCTCTGAATCCAATCTCTAGAACTGCCAAAAAAATTGATTGATTGGCTGGTTGGTTGGTTGGTTGGTTGGTTGGTTGGTTGGTTGGTTGTTTGGTTGATTGATTGATTGATTGATTGATTGATTGATTGATTGATTGAGAGATTGAGAGATTGAGAGATTTAGAAAAGAATTTCTCTTTCGATGGGTGCATTTATGGGGCTGGGTAAATGGCTCAGTGGGTAAAGTGCCTGCCATGCAAGCATGAGGACCTGTTTGGATCTCCAGCACTCATGTAAAAACTGGATAGGGGCCGGCCGTGGTGATGCATGCCTTTAATCCCAGTACTCGGAAGGCAGAGGCAGGCAGATCTCTGAGTTCAAGACTAGCCTGGTCTACATAGTGAGTTCTAGGACAGCTGGGGGCTACAGGGAGACCCTGTCTCAAAAAGACCAAAAAAAAAAAAAAAAAAAACTGGGAAGTGCATGTCTTGTAACCCTAGTGGAGGGTAGGCAGAAACAAGCAGCTCCCCAGGGGCTCACTGCCAGCCAGTTGCGCTGAAATGAGCTGCAGATTCAGTTAGAGACCCCGTTTCAAAACATAAGGTGGAGAAATGATTGAAGAATACTTATCCGGTATCAACTTCTGACTCCCCACATCCACCTGCCCACACACGCAGATCCTATACACACATGCACACACAAAGTGGGATTAAAGGTGTGTACCACCACCCCTGGCACTTCGTGTGCTTCTAATCCTCATGTTTAATTTTTTTCTTTGGCAAGGCTTTTTATGACGTATGGCTTCGTGTGCACTAGAATTTGTATTCTTTTAAGTGGTGTTGAAGACATCTAACTTTATTATCTTTTCCTTTAATGTGCATTCCCTGTTATATTATGCCAAGTCATTCACTTTTTATTTTTATTTTTTGTTAGAAAGCCACATACTAAGAATTCACATCTCAAAATTGAATGAAGTACCCAGAAGTCCCATAAAAATCTGTCAGTCATTCTGTAGTGAATAGATATTCTGATTATTTTTGAGGGATATTTTGAATATTGCTGGTATGACTATATAAATGATGTATATTTGGTAATTATACATGTGTTTCCTATTGGAGAATACACTTAGGAGTAACGGGTCATAAAGCATATGTGTATTTATCTTTACTAAAATACTTGCAAGTATTTCAAAGTGTGACTACCACTTCACATTCACCAGCAATATGTGAGAATCCTGTTGCTCACTGTCCTCATGAATGACAACACTCATCCTCATTATTAGCACTCTTCACACAGTCACTCTGATGGTACATAAATTGATATTTCTTTGTGTGTTATACGTTTCCTGAGGTCTTAAGATTGAGCAACTGTTTATATATTATTAGATACTTAAGTTTTTTACCCACATAATTATCCAGTTGTCAATCTTTTTTTCTTTCTTTCTTTTTTTTTCTTCTTTTTTTTTTTTTTTTTTGGTCTTTTTGAGACAGGGTCTCCCTGTAGCCCCAGCTGTCCTGGAACTCACTATGTAGACCAGGCTGGTCTTAAACTTACAGAGATTCACCTGCCTCTGCGTCTGCCTCCCAAGTTCTGGGATTTAAGGTGTGCATTACCACACCTGGCCAGTTGTTATTTCTTAATGGTTTGTATGAGATTTTCATACTAATGCTAATTATTCGTTCTTATGTATCACAATCATCTTTTCCCACTTCGTGATTTGCCGTATCACTCATACTGGTGTTTTTGGATGAATAGTAAATAGTGTTTTTGATTTCTTCTATTTGATAATAGTCCAATTTGTCCGTTTTTCTCTTACAGTAGTACAAATGTATTATAGCCTATTGAAATTTTTGACTGGATGATGAATGTATTATCCCCTATTATCTTTTAGAGGCTTTATTTTAATCTATTGAAGTTATGATACTTGGTATTTTAGTACTTATTCTTCCCACTGTTTTATGGTTTTTTTTTTTGTATTTGATGCTTTTTTGGCTTCATGTGTTACATAAAAAGTGATAGTTTATTCCTAGCATGTTTTTTTAGATGAGTAAATAAGGAAAACAAACTACTTAATGTGTCTATCATGTGATTGTTAGGAATCTCTAATGAACTCAACCTATATATTTTCATTAATCTGTCTTTTTAGAAGTTAATTTATAATAAGCTGTTTCCATATGAAAAAATGCAAAGCTTAAAACTTTATTATCTTTGTACAGATTTTGAAAGTTTACTTGGGAGCCAATTTTTAAAAAATTTA